CAGGACCTTTACGATGAATAATTTCTCAACGAGCGTAATAACTGTTAGACTGATGGTAATGGGTACAACGCTCCGATTAACAACATTTTAGCAGGTAGATAGGTCGTTACTGCAATCGCATTTGTTTGATTACAGCGGCCTATATGTACGTACCTTTATGCGGTACTATAGTAGTATTTTGCAGCAACACACGTGTCCACTGATAGCCAATATATCCATGTATATTCGGCTGTACGTCTGTGAAACGGTTGATAGGGAGACCGGCAGCAGTGGTAAGGGCCGCGGCGACAAGGAGAACGTCTCAGCAGATTTTTCGGTGGAGGTGACCGAATGAAAGCCGCCGCCCTAGCAAACGGCTGACGTCAACATCAATGGCGAGTCTTACATTTTCGGTAGCGAACATGCGATACAAATCCTCTGGTTGCCATTGTGACAACAGTGTGTGTATGCGTAGAGGGGTTACCTGCTGCCCTTGAGAAAAGGGCTCTAAGCGAAACGCAGAACAGTCCTGTTTAAGGGGGTCGAAAGTGACTTGCACTGAAATCGAAAGCGGTCCGAGGAGTTTTCGGCCTTGAAAGAGAAAAAGCCTTTGCACGCTAGCCGTCTTCCTCGTTGCCGTCAACGGCATTAATGACGTAGCACGGGCTCTGTCGTGCTTGCAGCAACGACTGAAACAGCGTTTGCAGAAGCTGCGCCGCTGGTGCAAGAACTGCTCATACCGATACGAGCGGCGGCGATGCTCTTCCTGAAGTTATTTTCGATTACAATAGAGTGTCATGCCGCACGAAGCGTGTCTATCAGTCGTACTCGTTGCCGCAAATAATGAAAAAAAATAATTAACAGAAAGATCGGTCAGGTTTGCTCGCTCCTCTTCATACTGCACATGCATACATCCTATGGATGTGAAGGGTTTGCATTGTTTACATTTTTGATGAAATCGAATGGAGCGCTTTTTAATATCAAGAATAGATCATGAAAGTAGATAATTTGTTTTTGCTAGATTAAAGTTACTAATATGCCCGAATTTCGTATTCAAGGTTAGTTTGACAACTTTTGCTTTTGTAGTTTCGGCGATAGTAACATGTATTACACTGAAATTGATTTGGGCCCTTTGACACGGAAAAGCCCAAACATGTTTACATACGTTCCGAATTACCCTTAGATGTTAACAGACATGACACTGAGAGAATAAATCAAACAGGAACGGGCAACAATTGAATCTAAGACCTTTTGCGTAAACCTTTCGTACGACAAGTTGGTGAGAAATGATATTCCAGGAGTCAGATTGCGGCTGATCGAAAATTAAAATGAAACTTATTGTTGGCCTAGCAAGAAATTAAGAGCGAATTCTCACCTGTTCTTACGTGTCAAGGAATGTGGTACGTTAAAAATAGATACACGCGACTGTTCGTTAGTGTGACAGCCTTACATGGACTTTAAAAATGCAGTAATAATTTTTCCTTCTATACATACTGTAGGATTGGATTATTATAGCAACCTACTTTGTGACGCTGCCAGATAATAACGTCTACGCAGATCATAGTCCTAACTGTGAGCATGCTCCATTCATTATTCTACATTACACGTGCCTTTTTTACGTCTTTAAATTTTGTTTTATTGAGAGATCAAAGGACTCCTTAGTCGTCGATTTTTTTTGACGTTGTTTCAACTACCCCCGTCAAGATCGACAAGGCTGTGCAAGATGTATAACGCTCTTCATCGGAGTGACTATTATAGTACTTTTTTCCTAGCTGATTTTTTTGATGGAAGTGAACAGTAACTACATTAGTTGTGACATCCCCTTAGCACGATGTTACTTCCAACTTTCGGAAAGACCCCCGCTGATAAAGTTACTGTTGGTTTTTTCGCGCTTAAGCCTTTCCAATTGTTCATGGCCGAGCCTTAAATGCATAATTCCTATTTCTTTAGGCAAACATCAAATATACATAACGTATCACATAGTTCTGGTTGCTACAACATGAGTCTGCTTTAGATGCTTGTAAGTGATTTATCAGTCTGTTTTTAATAGCGTTTTGTAGCCTATAAGCACAGCAAGCTGACCTTCAGTGAGAGCACATTTTTAGACTGGTATGTCTTGTTTTAGGCAACGTATTTTTCTACTAATCCTAGGGGCAAGTTGTGGTTGGTTTTATTTTTATTAACCTGTTAAGTGTTCGACCCGGGGCTTACGCAGACCTAGGTTCGCGCTGGAAGCCGCCCGTCTGATGAAATGCCTAATGGCGATGCCGGACCTAAAACTCAAAATTCAGAAAGGTATGCCTGGTGCACGCTATTGTATATTTCCGCCATGCCAACACAACTTTGCACTTCTAAATTTGACCTCAAAGACTGATTTATGCCTTGCATGATTCATTTGGTCACTTGCCAGCTCCTACATTTCCTAACTTTACCCTTTAGGAATAGTACAGACCGACGACTAACGTTAGGTAGAACGTAGGTCTGCAAAGTTTAGAAACATGTCCAGCTAGAAGCTTGTCATACTCATATGGTTTTTTGAAAACCGTTTCTTTACAGAAACTATCCCACGAGCTATTGAAGTGCTTATTGAATACCACCTTGTAACTAGGCAGGTGACATAGAAGGTGCGCTCATCGGATATATTTTTTTGTTAAAATTATTTTTTACGATTCGTGTCGGAAAATTTTATTCAGAACTCTTAACGATAGGCCCCATAAGTTGTAGTAGCTACCTCCTCCGAACCGATCGCCATATTTAACAGTATTTTCTGTCCATGGGTATTACTATCTTCTATGTTCTGTAAAAGTTTCGACGGAGGTCGAACATTATCAGTTGTAAGCCTTGCGCTCAGGGTATCACGGGGCGGTCTGCCTTCATGCAACCTCTTTGGCTTGGTAATGAACTGACTGTTTATTTTTCGGCTTTAAATATTTTAAATTATATGATAAATTATGTGACAAGGATGGTCAGTAAATGAATAAATAAATATTTTTGCAAGCGCCTGAAACAAGTTAGTGAAAAATGAACAAGTAGCATTGGTCTAATTAAAACTACAAGCGAAGCTGTAGTAGAAACAAATACCTCTCGAAACTGTAAATTTTGCTTTTTGACATGTTACATAATTTCACGTATATGCTATAGGCCATTACAGAGTTTAAATGTTTAGTCAACATATTCTACTTAATCATAATGTTATCCTAAGATGTATTTACTTAGTGTATCAGCATATCATCTTGATTTAGATACATTCAATAACATAGATAAACGCTTTGAGTTTCTAACTTTAATACTTCGCTTGAACATTGGCCCTCCGTACGTCCTTCGATCGCATCTTAACAACCCTTCTTCGCGAATCAACGCTTTGAGAAAATCGGAACGAATACTTGTGACTTCATTTGTCCTAACGAAAAAAAGCACCCTAACAAGCTGTTGATTTTTGGTTACACGAGTCACTGGCGCGCGTTTTATGCTGAAAGGAATTCTGTGGAGTACAAGAGTATCAATAAACAAGTTATTCTCTATAATAAACTGAATCCGCGGATAATAAAAACGGTAATCGCTAGCAGCCTTTGCTGACTCCGAGAATTAAGATGGAAAGTTGAAAACTATACTTGGATATTATTCAGAAAATGCTTCTTTCCAATTAGTCTTAATTATGGCCCTAGATACCCGTAGAGAACATTTCCATTCCAGCTGAGAACATTTGTAGGCTCACGAAGTTCATAGCGAATGACTAAAAGTAGTTCGCTTTTGATAAAGTTTTGATAGAGTTCTGTGTTTATTCGCACCATAGGCGTAATATGTTCATGGCTGCAAGAAATGTTCCTCCATGGTGAATTAGGCGCTACGGGTCGTCTAGAACGGCGCTAAGCTTGTCATCAGTACAAACAATTAGTGTTTCAAAGACGTTTCATGAATGTGAGGGAAAAACGTACTAACAAAATTACTTTCAGACTTTCTGTTTTCTAGAGAACGAAGCAATCTCTCAAAATGAGATATTAATATGACACCTACATACCAACATACAGATTCTCTATCTATCTAATCAGGTCGATGGGTCGAAAAAAGTACGAATGAATGTTCAAAAGCCATCAGCACCTCAATAAGCTGTGATAATACATAACACAGTTGGATAGTTGTCGACAATACTGAATTACGATCCAATTGAAATCCGCATGTCAGCCATTGATAAAAATGGAACCAATGGTGAGGTAAGCAGCGAATATGTCGGGTAGACGACAAATGGCCGACCTTGCATTGAAGGAAGACTCCCAAAGAGGAAGATGTTGGATTGTCGAAATTGATTTTGGTCAACTACAAGGCTTAGTTTAGGAGGAACAAAATAGGTACCTTTAGGATATAAATTTCTCTATGGAACTTCATTCAGAGGTAACAGCTATTTTTTTTTTTAGCAAAACAGTATTAGTTCACAACACGTACTGTAGCAATGGTTCTGTGGATAAACAACTAATCCAGACGAATCTGTGTTTCCCTAGAAGTTTCAATGAATGCTTGCCTTAGGCAGATCCAACCGCTAGCTTGAAGTCATGTCCGTTACAAGTCAAGAACGTTTAATATATAGTAATTCGAATAATGATGTAAAAATGCGATGTTCATTAAAAAAAAATAACGATACCGTAACACTCCTCGTTCTCCTTAAAATTTCCTTCTTATTTAAAAATTGTTTTCAACGTATATATTAATAGGTGCAATAGCGGAATTGGACTTAAATTACTATTGAAATTTGCCTATATGTATCAGGTGCTGATGCCTTTGCTTTACGTATGATTATACGTATCTGCCGTGAAATATTTCATTTCACTGGCGACTTATTGGCGTTAATCCTTGTAATATCACGAGCTCTATTGTCCCTAGCTGCGATCGACCTCAGAAACTCAAATTCATATTCAAAAATCCTTTTGTCGAAAGAAAATGTGTTTTTGCAAGAGTTCGTTGATCGGACGCCACTGTGAGAATATGACGCAGATCGAAGACTAATCTCGCTTGACTGTGGTTTTCAGTTTGGCCAGGGTAGGAACGGCGCAATCAGGGGGTGATAGAGCTGACCTTTGGACCTTCACCAATTCCTCGCAATATTCCATTCTTAGCTCGAGCTCAGCTACGCGACATCGTGACTCTCTTAGGTCGAAAGAAAATCTAATCAGAATCGTTTAAGACGGGCGTATAATTTCCAGGTATGTATACCCCCATCTCCTACCAAAGCTCGGATCAATTCGAGAATTCGAGAACGTTGTTCGAGCAGAAAGTATCGCGGATCAATGCGCGCTCGCGCGCGAGATATTGGCGTATCGGAAGCGCAAAAAATGTGTTCGTAGAATGTTATGATGCTCCTGATCATCAACGTCAGACATTTCCTTAAACGTGTATCATTTTGAAAAGCTTTCTCCTAAATTTCACTTCTAAATAGCATATCAGCATCGTCGGACAAACCGTAGCCGCTGATGATTCTATGAAGTTGTATACGGGAGCGCCACGCCGCACCATGAAGACAGGTCGGGATATGACGGCTTCTAGCATTTATGTCTTGGCGCGTTCATTCAAAAATTCTAATCGGATGTAGCGAATTGGAGAGAGCGAAACCGTACTCTTATTTAAATACTTAAATAGGACACATTTTGCTTCGACTTGTTTAGTTGCTCGTTTATGTTTCACCATTTTCGAAGCAACTATTAAAAAGATTATCTATTTAATCTAATTTTACTGTTTAGCTACCAGAAAAGCTAATTATATGCAAGCCAGTTAGGGAAACGGCGCGGAAACAGACGTAGAATAAAAGAAACGTTCAAAAACTTTGTATTATATGATGCTCATTATGGTTTTGGTTCTACCTCAAGTAATGTACACAAAGTACCAAACTGGAACACCTTGAACGATAAAGGTTCGATTTTTACATTGCGCATGTACTGTATAATCTAGAAGCATTAATTCCTCTAGCATTGACCTTTACGTGTGACGTGGAAGCAAATAACAACAGAATGGTCACATTCACTACTTGGAACGTACTTGCCTGGAGTACGTACTTTGTAAAATAAGTACGTAAATTGTACAAATGTTCATATTTTATAAGTGGTCGTAACCTCTTCAATTGAAGAAACTTACCAAATTTTACGTATTGTGCTTGCTGCTTTGTAAGTTGTCGTCATCGACGAAATAGAAATAAATCTGGGAACATGCGTTTTCTGCCATGAAGTCTGTGTCGCATGGGAACAGCATGCGTCGCTTTGCTATACATAAGAAATCTTTCGTAAGGGTAACAAAAGCTCGTATACTTTGTTGGATTCTGCCATTCATCGATATTAATTTTCACTCAAGTTATTAATGCATTTTGGTACCATTATCATACGCTGCACGCGTTGTACAAGTATATAGCATACAATCGTATTTGTGGAGATCGACCAGAGATAGACCCTGACTAGTCGATAGCATTTTATTACCGATTCAAGCACGTAGCTGTTCGCTGATCCACATAGGCCTAATCATTTCCATAATGAACCAGATACGTTTCGCCAGACTACTGAAGTCGAGGCCGATTGAGCTGCTTGACGTAACTTAAGCTGCATCTTCGTTTGAGTCCTTCGCTCTGCTTACAGGTTTAATACGCGTTTATAAATCAACTGTAGTAAGCATAATACTCAACAGAAAATACTTGTATTCAACGCATACGATAGTGCCATTTGCGTGTCCCGACTAACCAGAGGAACTACATCGCAGAAGTTGTCACTCACTATTCATACATGTCATTTGTTATGAAACTACCTTCACTCGGCTATTGGGTGCTCGAAACATATCGGTGTTTGTTTCGGGTAAGATACAAAAACAATAACCTTTTAATCGTTATCATAAGCAGCTTAATCAATTATATTGTGCTCTAACAGGTTCGTTCTCTACAGACGGCTCTATTCCTAACTCAGTCAATACCGTTTCTTCTAAAGGTTACTATGTGCGGTATACAAAAAAAAGTCCGAAAAGGACTAATGGTGAATTCGAGAAGAATATTAAATCATCTATCGACTAATCTGTTATAATTGTGTTGTAATAATTATCTGTAATATAATGTCTAGCAGCCGTACTACGAACGGGGAGATAAATGTACGTATTAAGACTGGAGCTGACATGCCGCTGAATGATATTCTATTTAGAGGACACAGCAGGCAAGATATAGAAAACGTGCTAAGCATACCGGTTCCTTCTCTCTCAGTCAAGTAACCTAGGAGATCATAGCTTTCCTGTATTACAATATATCTTTGCCTTACTCTAAGTGCTGAAAAATTTTCAAAACACAAAAGCATATCATTACAAGACGCCTACCTTGTAGTACGTCAAATCAGATCAATCAGCTTTTGTTGGTCTTATACGAGTAATTTTCTTCAAGTTCTTGCACGTTCTCAATATGCACATGGAAGTATCTGTTACTACTACACCACTAAGGTACAGATAATTTTTGTATCTTGATTAATATCGTGTAGATATTTAGTGAACTACATTGCTACGCTGCATTGAAGGAAGGGGGAAATTTAAAAAAGTGCGCCAAAATTTACCATTCAAGTCAATATTTCGAAAGCCGATGAACTATTCGAGTAGAAACTTTCGGGTAGAAAATAAAAAAATACCAGCAAAGGCGTTGTTATTACAAGAGGATAGAGTTGCAGCCGTGTCATTGTATGTTATTGAACAGCCAGCTATCAGTGTTTGTACTTCCGGCAATTTGTGTAATGAATGGAATGCGAACTGTCTCAACAGACCATTATTAGCAGAAACCCTTGCCAAACGCATTTATTGGCACTAGCTGGTACAAATGGCGAGGCAGGTTAGCAGGCTTATTGATGGGGTGTGCAAGGGGTTGGGAAGACACGTGATATTATCATGTGATTATTGGTGCTACAATATATACAGTCAGGGCGTTCGCAATGAGCACCGGACTTAATAGCTTCAATATAGCCGCCCGCGTTGTCGTGTGCGCGATCCTAACGGTATCTTATCTGATAAATAAGACCAGACCCTTTTAGTATCTATAGTGTACTAGGTAACGAAAGCGAATAGTGTATGATATGCAGTATTTCATCCGAGGGATTATATCATTCCATAATAACCTTAAACACTTTGAAATTACGTTACTTCTTTACAAAAATATTGTATATGAAACAGTTATGTGAAGGGTAATTGAAAACAACCTTCGAGGGAACATTGCTAATCGGGCAAATAACTACAAGAATAAATGGATTGTACTATACTAGGTTATACCGTCAAGTCAAGCTCTGATACACGACAGCACCTTATGGCCATTAGTCGACCTTTCCACACGTGTAGAATCACTAGTAAATTGTACCGAGGACATAGGCCAAAATAAATGACACCCAGTGGAATTTAGTAGGAATAATCATTGTACAAAGTTTATCTGAGTGAGACGTAAAAACTTCCGGAGGTGGTGTGCATACGTTGTGCATGCGACCTCTGGAAGTTACACTTAAACGACGTCCAAGGTGCATCTAGCCCTGTTTGTATTTTAACTGTCTTCAGTTCTGGAACGAGAGTTCACTTAAAAGGTTTACCGTTGTCGAAAGTGATTCTATCCACTGGATGACTAGACCGCCCTTTTATTATTATTTATTGTGCTACGTTGAGTCACGCATATACAATATGGCGGATTTTAGATTGGGTAAGCTGACTGCCATGATTTACTCACGAATACTCAATGAATATTAGATACTGCCACAAATGGTAGTTTTAATGTCTACAGACACAATCATCTAAACGTCCAGATGTTCTATGTTTTAAATATTAATTATTATTTTTATTACCTCAAAATCTCACATAAGAGAAAGACTCCGTTTTATTATTACATTATATATATATAATTACACGTCGTTATGAAATGAGTCATTTTGACAGTTAAGTGTTCGCAACGAGGCAGTGACTTTTCCTCCAGAAATATACGTCAGTTCATGTAACTGGGGAAGCTCCATGAACGGCCCCGTCTGCACCACCGATGTCCTTTCCACGAATCGATGACTAATAAAGATCGTTAGCACGGCGAGTGGAAGGATGACCACTGATAGAATGAAACGTACGTGACGTACAGAGCCTGTCGTCTCCGTTGATTAGCTATCGTGATTGGCCAACGGGAACAGAAGAAATGTGTTTTATCAGCGAAGCGGTATGCTACAAAAAATAGCTTGCCACTGAAAAACAGCTTGCTGATGAAGATTCAGTGACTGAGGTTCGTGTTTATTTCAATCACTTCCGAATGATCGTCGTCCGATTTATTGACACAGCTTGCAGCACGTGCTATTATATTCTATAATAGATTGCTAGATGAGGGATACATAGGTACGACCGATTATGCTTATGGTACGATAACGACCCCCCCCCCACCCCCCCCCAAAAAACGTTATATCTGTGAGCTGTTTTCGTACTTATAAGATTGCTAAATTCGTTGAACATCCCCATTCTGATTTGTGCGAAAGAACATTTTTTTTTTTGCATTTATCTATGATTAACTTATTTTTTCAATAAAGGCTGTGCACTTAATAAACTAGTGTTATATCAAAAGAAAAATACATGTACAATAGATTGTGTTGCCGGTTTGTTGTATTGATGCAATGTTTCCATAATTTTGTTAACGCCTAATAAAATTAAAAAACAGTTCGGTCCAAAAAAATGGGTACATATTTTTACGACTATCTAATATTGTCATGACTTTACCCATTGCCAAAACGATACAGCCACTGAAACTGAACTTTTGATTTTGCTTCCTCAACACGCCGTGTTTTCTCAGAACTTTTTTTACACTTAACACTCCTACATTGCATAACGAGAAACGCTTCTATTTCAGACATTTGCTGCCATTCTCACCGAAACAATGGCTATTCCGTCCTACAAAATCAGAGGTAAACCAACGGTTCCTTCTGATGTAAGCAACAATTGTCCAACGTTGGAAAGAGCAGAGCGTACGGGCGGAATACCGAAAACAAGCAACAATTCAGCACGACAGTTTTAAATTAGTGGCCCCGACTGGTTCCTGATCTGAACCAGCCCTTTCGTTCGGAAGAAAGATCAGAACTGGAGAAGAAGTTCGCGTGGTCCAGTCTTAACTTCATTTTGTAATCGTTTCCGTAATTTAAGCTGGCCTTAGGAAATTACCGCGTGCAGTTGACGCCGCAATTCAGTGCTGTGTTCATCGGCGAATACGTTTTCTATTTTAAGGACGTACTGCGCATCGCTCATTGGATAACGTCGTTGTTGTTAAGGCGATTGTATCCAGTGAGAGTTTTCACGCCTTGTTTTTTTTTTCGTCGCTGGTCGATTTTGCCAGTTGGACCAAACAAGACTCCTCTGCGGAATGAAGGACGCGGGCAGGAAGGACGGTGATAGATGTCTCGTGTGAAGGACGACGTGCCGAAAGATTAGCCACAGATAAATGATTTAACTTACCTAGGAGAAGAATACAATAAAAGTTATTGCGATGATATATCGTTTTGCAATGATTTAAATGAGTTGGGTAGCATGGCAGCTTGAACAGAAATGTTAGCCAACCAATTAATAAGTTAAGCAGACTTCAGAGTTAACGAAGTCAACGGGGCGTCTTGATACTATTTTACGATAACAGCTCCATCAATCAAAATACGAACGACGGCTATTTACCGAACTATGTCGAGCTTATTTAAGAATGCTTACGATATAATTTCATACTGTGGAATCAGCGGTAGAAATTAAATGATGATTTTGGGAACAAAACTGTCGTGTCATCTAATGGCCTTCAAAGGCAGTGGGTTCCATTCGCCCAGCTCTGTTACAAATGGCAGCAACCTAGAACATTCAATAGAAGCACGAAGTTGAATAAACATTGCGGTGTTTCTGCTTTACCGAACTAAGTTAGCGTGTGCTTCTAAGTGTTCTCCTTCAAACCAGGCCGACAAACAATGCTGTTAAGCGTAAACAAACTTGAGCGTTTGCAGATATCACGTCCTACAAAGCACACACAAATGACAACTAATACCTTAGCAGCAGCTACTGAGAGACGTAAACTACTAACATGTTTGAATGTCCTATGCGTTCATAGCTTTGCAAATTAATTCACGTAATCCGCGTGTTTGTGGGCGCAGTTAATCCAATTAGAACCACTTTGATTTGTACGAACCTTTATTAAATGAGGCATTTATCGCTATACGTATGCAAGGACAATTAGTGCGGCTTGGGCAGCTGCATTTGCCCAGATTTAGCAATCATAGGCCTGTACCACTGGATGTTGAAGCTCTCGAATCTTCTCGTAAGTTCATAAAATGGATACATACCGATACAGTAAGTCTGGAATCAATGTTTTCGTTGACGATTCCTATATTTATATCGAAATCTATCAGACGACCCTCTTGAGTACCGCCTCCATCCAATCGCAAACAGGTGCACACAAAGATGTACGATCGTATCTAAGGTGTTACGAAGCGCAGCGGAACCTCTGAACACAAAAGTTGAACATTGATTTTCTAGAGAGGCGTAATTATATAATAGAATTTAAGTTGGAGGAGAGAGGTATCAATCTTCCCACGAACGACACGGTATTTCGTTGCAGGGCGTTAGGTGTGGTTCTAGTCTCTCTCGGTTGGCATTCATTCTTCTTTAGTAACTTTCGTTTGTGCCAAGGAAATGCGCAAATAATACTAATTCTATTGACCAATGGGCTTGGTAAACAGACACACTTTTAATTTCATTTTTATGCCGGTTGGTAGATCGGCTCAAGAAATATAACAAGGAGTGGGTAACGCTTTCACTTGGCCGTATGTTGTTATAAAAAATAAGCTTTTTATTATTGTTATAATTTAATTGAAAAAGGGATGAGAGGAGAACCGTACGTACGATTAGCTGTTCAGGCCTAGCAAAAATACCTGTTCTTTCTGGAGCTGTTCTCAATATAGGTAGTGTCATTTAGTGAAACATACAATTCTACGGTCAGTCTGTATCTAAAACAGGCCTCGGAGTGTATGTAAGTCTTAGCTCAATGGCGTCGAAGACGTCTTGGCTGAGATATTATATCCATAGATGGAACTTTATACTATTAACAGTTTCGTAACTACTTTTTTGCATTTCAGCTATCAGTTACCCAAGATGAAGGTTTCTGGTAAGTTTTGTGAGTCTAACTTCTAGAAACTGCTTAACTATTATTATAAAGGAAGCAGTCGTATCGAATCATAAAGCATGAGTAGATACAGCAAGCAATACTGTCTGTCTTTTTCTATTATGTTATAAAAAAGAAACGAACAGTGTGTTTGAAATATGAATAAACTTTCAAAATGGTATCCTGGCACTGGTAAAGACAAAATGCTGCTCCAGAAGTATTCACTATACAAAAGTTGTCGTGTTACAATTATGACTGACGGGAAAACCGTGTTCAAGGGGGTCAGAGCGGATCGTAAGGTCCGATTGAATAAACAGCTTTCGTAAGTCCTCAGTTTTCAATATCCAGACAGAAATCGGATCCGAAGTAGGCGAACAGTTTCTGAAAGGCAGCTCGGTGGATAACGACTGGAGGAAACTTGTACATGGGTAGAAAATGCAGTTATGGCTATTATTATATCGAGTATTGCAGCGAATCAAAGATGAGTTAGCTAAACTAAGAGTTCTGCCAGCGGTTCGAGAAGAGGGAGTACAAACGTGGTACAATTTATCAGAAAATAGCGCTGAATATTTTTTTACTTACGTAGTATTAAACGAACCGAACGATAGTGCCATATATTTCTGCACGCTGCATAAATCATCGATAGGCGAAACGTTCGTTTTTCCTAGTGTGTGTTTAGAGGCTGCATTTAGTCACTTAATTGTGTGACCTACAGTCGCTCGAAACGTTTCCTTCGTCCGTTGACCAAGAATATGCATGGGCACAACGCGCTTGTACAGTGTGTGGACGAAGGCAATAGCAACGATAAGAAGCAGCTATATCAGCTCAACTTGGTAGCATCGATGTTTAAACGTTCCTCATTGGTAAAAATCTTTTTTTATCTCTTTTATTTGGCTCGTTAGAGAGGTTTTATATACTAGAACAAAGCTTACTTCAGAGAGTTCTCGACGGGTGCGCACGGCCATGGCAGCGGCAGTGGGCAGAAATGCCTCACTGGCGATGGCAGCAGCGAACAAAACGATTGACATAAATTTATGATCATTTCAACAGCAATGAGCCGGCGGAGTGCGTTAATAAATAAGAAACAATAATGCAAAACAACCCAAATGCCAGCCTTAGAATAACTGGAATAACGGGTAAATTGAACTTTAAAGATTCGAAGTCAGTTCTTCGCCAGATCGACAAGAGCCTGGAAGATGGGGTTGAATCGCCTGAGAAACGGTGACCAAATCACAACAACTTATTTCGAAGTGGCACATTGTTTCAAGAGCTTGTCTCATCGATGTTCAAAGCTCACATAAGATTGTCACCATATGTTTTATCGCTTAATAGTTAGGTCGCTAAGTTAGCTGCGGAGTCGACGATTGTTGCTCATCATATTCAATCTTCCTGACAGAGAATAATATGGTGTTATTAAAAACAGATCTTTAGCCACACGACTGAGAGGCATCTTTCTGTTACGGATACAAAAATATGTATAAAACTAACAAAATCATGTTTGACTCTGTGTATTTTGATCTTTATAAAATTTCCGATAGAGTATGCTAGTCAGTGTTGAGAAAAATTCGTTTTTTTTTTTAACGCTAACCTGTGCTCGATCTCCTGTATATGTAGCAACCTCGTATATCAGATATTTTCCATGTTAAACTTGGCGACAGTTTCGGCCCATCTGGCGGTCCGCAAGATTCTCATATTGAACCAATTTTATTTATCCTCGATATCATGATTCTCTTTCGTGTAAAGCAAAACTTCTACGCCGACGACTCTGATTTATACTTGTCAGGAATGATCTACGTTTCAACAGGCCATAGGAAATGGGTCTCGATAGCGTGAGAAAAACGATAGGATCATTTTCTAGATGGGCTGTCCTTTGTCTAGAGAATGAAAACCGACATACTTTACATGCAGACGCCGTGCTTGGGGTCAAATCTCCAACAGTTTTTGCTATCGTCTTAATAGCGATTTAACGTTTGAATGCCCACATTCGCACGCAACAATTCAGATTATTGCGCTAGCCCTTGTAATTTTTCATCGTTTTTTTTTTAACACCTTGAGTTTTACATCAGCCTTTGTAGACGGTCAGTTTTATTAAAACACACAGACTAGACACAAATGCTAAAACACGTATATGTATACTTGAGTAATATGCACTTTGATTTTTATAGGAGTTTTCAAAGTGTGCTAGGCTTACTCCTAAAAAAAAAATACTTGAAAAAACGTCCTATTTGAAGCTACGTATACAATTCAATTCTATTCGACATGACAATGTGAGTGGTAGTAGCAACACAGAAGTTGTAGCTTTTGTCCCCATTTTAGTACTTCAAGACAATGCAGAAAACACGTATGTTTAATCGTACCCGAAACTCTGATCGTGTTTTTAAATCATCTTGGGAGCGGGTTGTTGTCGGAGCAGCTATGATAAATAGTATTTTCATGTTTCACGTTCGTTCCACTGACTGTTGGTATTTAATTTGATTCTCCACATAATAACTATGTGCAATCGTTATCAAAACTAAGGTGGCATGACTAGATGGGACCTAGCACGCGCAGGCGCGCGGGAACCCGTTGTCGTCTGGCTTGCACTAGCCCATTTAACACCTCCGGCTCAGCTTTTATGATCTATACAGACACAAAAGTTAACGTTCGTTCAGTCAAAGACGTAACTCTTCTACCAGGAAGATGCTCGTTTTCAACAAATGGAAATGATGACGTATGACAGCTATTTATCTGTTTCAATGGTTCCTTGGCCTATTTGTTTGATTATTTAATTAATTCGCAACTATATTTAATAACTCTGTGCAATTTTTTTAGCGCCGCTAATTATTGCACCTCGCTAAGCCACAATCTGAACTGCTTTTTGGTGTAAAACTGAAGTGCGAAATGCGGCCATACTGTTTACTAGGCTATAGCGAGTTTTATTAGCTGGATTTAACATAGACAAGATTGAAGTGTTGATAATGCTCTTTCCTTGTTAATTACAGGAACTGCTTGGAGACAAAAATCTACCTGTGTCTGTTGTAAATTTCGGTTCATGCAGCCCTAATCATTTCCAACAAAGGTTTTCTATATGAAGTTGGATTTAAATTTTCTTCAAGTTGTCGTGCTGGCTGAAAGATACCTTACCTACGCGCTCTTTACTCGATCAAGTTCATTGCTATCTAATACGTGGTGATTTTTAATTGACATGATGTCTCATTCGTCATCCATGAGCAGTGTTCTTAAATATACAGTAAGTCTATGTAAATAAGCTACTGGTAAACTGCACACACACACAGCATTTGTGAGTATTGTTTTTTACTACTATACTCTCTCCGAATTTTGGGCTACTAATTATAAAAAGATCCAGCTAAACGTACTATTGGATTGTCACTAACACGAAACAGTTGATACCAAGTCAAATATTTATTTTCACTTCAGGGCAGATAGTTATTTTTTTTTTTCGTACCGATTCCCAAGTACAGACAATTGAATTTTTTCCTGGGTTTGCCACTCGCCCACGTACTACCTCTTCTGACATTTGGGCGCCTGAGGTCAGCACGTTCGAATCAGACACCTTACCTGGAACAGATGATAACCTACTCACACGCTTAACTACGTCCAATGATAGCTTCGTAAAAAAAACACTGTTTAAAGAAAAAGTATTTACAGGGTACAACAAGCCTGACCTAGGGCATAATACGCCATCCATATAATGCTTCGATGTCCATTTATAACCGCCATCGCAACTTAAACTTTATAGAGAACATCGAAATAAGTTAAATGCAGCTAGTTTTTTCTACACACGAATTGGGTAATGCTGTTGTCTCGGTATTTATACGCTTCGATATTAGATCGCAACTGTGAGTCATCTGATCTAGGACTCCGTTGGTTCGGAAACCATTATCATATAGGGTACAAACGTAGAAGATTATCATGGGGCAAACCATCATATTCGCATCTGTATCGGGGACTATCTTAAGGTGTAGCAAAACGATGTCTAATGAAGCGCACATAAGAAGGATTCGTCCTGTACAGGCATCATTCAGTGGCAACAAGCTTATATTTTGATGCTAAAATCTCATTTTTTCCAAGCGTTAAAAAGTAGAACGTTTGATCAAAATGGACGAACAGGCAACCTGATCAACGGCGCCAAACAAGCACGCGTAAGCCGCGTAATGATACGCGGCAAAATGCAAACGGAAACAATCATGAAAAAGGTGAGTGTCTACAATAACTTTTAAATAACATCCAATATTGACAACAAATAAACTCCTGACACACGCGAGCTCGCATACACGAAGTCTGTTTGGAACAAACATTTTGCAGGCTCTAGAGTAAAATTATA